AATTGAAATATGTAACCTGTGAATGTTGCAGGATGGCAGACCCCAGCATATAAACATCGCTCGGCTTCTCTGGTTCATAAAACAGCGGAATGTTGGAGATGCCAAGCAGCGGGACAAGAAGCAAGGTTGACTTGATTGTTCTCCTAAACAACAAAGACCATTGATGTGATCATGATCATTCCTATCTTCTCACCAAATCTTCTTGGATTCAGCTGTTCTCTCGTCTCGCAACTTCTTCACTAGAATTGTCACTATCCCCAACAGAAAAATAAGATTCATCTGGAACAAAATGTAATTTTCGCTATTTTCTTTCCTCTTCGTAACTCACAATCAGTGCAAGACCTATTGATCCCGCTAAAATCCATAAATGATTTCCCTGTGCGTATGGAAGCCAGCAAAATGAATTGGGCTCTTGCTTATGTTCGTGAACTAATGTCCAGGCCATAACAATAACAAATGGTACACCTAAGCTTTTTGTTTAAAATATAAGCAAATATATGTTACATACCCCATCCGCAAAGCATAAATAATGACCAAGGAGCTTCATTATGGCGCATAGCAAATACTGTAAAACGGCTGTATAGATAGGCTCCTTCAATTAACATCCACATCACAGATGCCACCTGTTAGAAGAAATTTGGAAAATGAAACTATACATGTTCATGAAACCATACCTGGAAGTATATAACACACCACAGAATTCCTTTACATATCCAGCCCTTTAAAAATTTTTCTTCTCATCGACTTAAAGTTATTTTCTGAACTCACCAAGTTCCAGAGTGGTTGTGGATGGAATTTTGTGCAATCTTGAAAGGCATTTGTTGTTTGAGCAATTGTCCACGCCGCAAGCACTGAGAAACGAAAAACAAAAGCTGATGCCAAATTTTTATGAATAGAGAGCCGCCGACACTATAAAATCTTGTTTCAAATAAAACAGGAGAGAAAGAATGATGATGTCATTAACTTCATAGAAGTTGACAGAGCATATAAGTTAGAAAAAGTTGGTAAGCTAGAAGTATAAGTTGAATGGAGAGAGCCAGACAACAATACGTTATACTTAATAGCTTAAGAAAAGACAGAAAGATGGAAAAATAGAAAAAGTGTATACCTGTAGAGATTTGAAAATAGAAAATAGAACTATTGCAGCTACCAAGACGACCACAGATAATACAGATAACGTTAACGACACTGTTATAACCAAATCTCTCAATGCATCGGGACACTGTAAATAAGGAAATGATTAAAAAATAATTTTTACCTAATCTATTTACCAATCGACAATATCCTTGGATACAATGTTGATATTCTTTGACAACCGTTAAGCATTCACTATAGTTGGTGTTTTCCCATTCGCCGGTACTAGCACATCTTCGAGTTACCATATGCTGTTCTTAAAGAGACACAAAAAATGACGAAACAAAACAAAAATAGAAATGATTACACATATACGAGAAAACAAGATTGAAAGACTTCACTCTATTTTGATAAACGATGATTGAAGACTCACGGGCAACTAAATCGCAACTGGGGACAGACGAACAGTAGGTGAACGGACAGACACGTTGAGCAATCTCCTCCAACTCTGCTCCAACCCAACATAATGATTTATCAAAACTAACAAGACAACCCGAAGTTCTGAAAAGGCAATTTGAGCACAATAAAATGATTCAATGACATTATAACAAGTGATGACTGATTACATTGACCTTTGCCCGCTCATTATGCGCGCCTTTTTTCAAATGTTTGATCTCATGCTTATGACCAAACAACATCAAGTTTTCGTAGTTTGTTTTCGAGACCATCTGTATTCATTTAGGGATCTGCAGTAAACTAAACTCTTTTCGAATCTTTTCATTAGCCATTTCCGTTTATTTCATTTTTTCAATTAGAGAAATAAAAAAGAAAGAGCAACTGCACTCTGAATCCCTCCCTCTCTTTCCCCCTCTCTCTCTCTCTCTCTCTCTCTCTCTCTCTCTCTCTCTCTCTCTCTCTAACTTTCTACATATTTTAAATGGAAATACCTATTGGAATCATCCACTCTTTGTTCTTCCTGCATTCTATAACAGATGTCATATTCTGATTTGACAACAGACATCGTTTCCTGAAAAGCAATGATGTATTAATAGATTTTATTGTTATTTGGAACTTATAGAGAGACAAAATAGAAAATGAGTGAGAAAAAAAGAAAGAAGGGGGGAGACATGGAGGGGAGGTGAAGAAGAATATGGAAATGTTTATTACATGTAGCAAGGGAATAGGAGTAGGAAAGTGAGAAGAAGACGTAGAATAAAAGAAGTTTGAAACATATTCAAAAAGAAACGTAGAGAAGTAGCTAATTTTTATTTATTATGTGTCGAGAAGTTGCATCATGCATACCAAAATGGTTGAAAATAATGTAATTTATTCCTATTTATCTGGCAATTGAACAGCAACGAACGAGAGTGTTTATTAGAGATAAATCAAATCGAAGGAGATAGAAACATAGATAGATAGATTTAATGTGTGAGAATGAGCTATTTGTGGGGATAAAAATAAAAAAAAAGTGTTTAAGAGATTGAAGAAATCTAAATTAGTCATTATACATGTTTCTATATAATATGGACATGTAAAAGAACAAGGCCTTAAATAAATTTGCAGGCATACAGAGAGCATAGTCAAGAGAGACAATAAAGCTATTCGAGCTTAAAAAGAGATTAGCTTGAAAAGTGGATGAGGAAATTATTCGAAGAGCTCTTGAATTGTTCAAAACTCATTCAGCATGAAATAAGAAAAATAGCGTAATTAAACATTGTTCAATATTTTAGCACTTCCCACGTATGCATAACCAAAATACTTTAGTGTCTAAGACAAAGAAAATAACCGAAATCAATAATTACGACATGGCCAGGAGCAAGGAGAGGGGGGAAGAGTAGGAGGAGAAGGAGAATTGAGAAGAAGCGAAATGGGGAGGCAGAGGGCTATGAACGCAAGTGCCAGTCTTGTTACTGATAGGCTGAAATATGGATAATATATATATATTTATATATATATATATATATATATATATATATATATATATATATATATATA